AGATGTCAAGATATTATTGGTTGAATATTGGTGGTTTAAGCTTAAATGCATGCCTTTGGTTGCGGTTGCATGCATAAGGTGGGACCCATTACGAAGCTTACTCAGACAAGCTGTTGAGTGTGCACTGGACACCAGGGCCAATCATCCACCACCAATACCAGATGATTTTGGTGTTGACTGGTAAGGTGACCAACTGTGTGATCTACCAACACCTGACTGGTTTTATACCAGACGCAAAAAGAGATAAAATGTTTGAAGGCTACACCCTTCTCTTTTTCTACATCACTGTCATACATTCTCTCTCTCCGTACGGCGATTGGCGCCAGCTTATATGACATCTGTCACTGCAAACTAACCCTATCCGAAAAAAGGGTATCCTCAGAGACAGAGAAGAGAGGATGTGAGCTGAGTTAACACTGCATTGTCAGCACGCAAGCACATCTATAGAGCAATGGGTTCACACTCACACACACATCCACAGACACACACTGGAGATCAGAGTGCCAGAGCTGTCACCAGGGTCAGTCGGGAGACGTGCGATATCTTGACAGAGCTGAAGTGTTCACTGACACAGAAACACATGCAACACACTGTGGAGCCTCACAGTCTGTCCCTATCCCTTGGTGCGACCAAGGGTGTGTACATGTGTATATTTTAAGGATGAGTGTGTCCTTTATACTTAAAATAAAGCCTGACTTTATTAGAACTTTAGGTAAGGCAGACACTGCTCTTAGCTCCAGGAGCATTAAATAAAATCCATTTATCCTTTCTAATATTGTGTTGTCATTGTTTTCTTTTGGTTTTCTTTATTACAACACAGTCAGAGCTCTTACATTCTTAACCCTTTTGAATTGCTTTTGAGTGCAGTACTGGAGATGCAGTTGTTGGTAAGGGACATCTGTTAAGCATAAAAAATTAACATATTTAGTGCATAATATCAGTCTGTTTATGCATTAAATTAACCCAGGCTTACTTTATTGATCATCAAGTAACAAACAACCTGTGTTTGCTAATGACATGTCGAAACCCTTGTTAAGTTTTTGCTCTTCATTTTAAAACAGCAAACATTCTTTGAATATTCCACATTAAAGTAGAAGCAATATTCAGCATCAAGGACAGGCTATTTATTCAAAGATAATTATACACTTTATGATGTGACAATTTCTTGAATTCAAAGGGTGGTCATGGGTATTTAAATTCTTGTGTCTGTAGGCAAGGAAGAAGTTTGTGCTGCTTCCTTTAACTGTAATTCTCTTCAGTTACTTTATGATTTAAGTACGCAATAAAAATCCAAATAAGCTTTTTAAAAATAGGCCTTGGTTGGAGCATGCTACATACCACGTGCTGTGGTACATATTGTACAGGGAAATACTGAAAGGGTCACACCTATATGTGTAAGACATCAAACACATCCAAAGATTCTCCCTTTAATGAGCTCCCAGGATGCACAGCCACATGCTATATGAGGATGTTTACTGAGATGACGGACACGTGTCGACATTTGGTTGTTTACCAGCCATGATGCCGTGTGGAGTCAGGGGGGAAAAAATCACTGTTTTATCCTTATTTAGGGAATTTGTCTTCTGTAATTAACATTTTAAATTGCACTTCAGTGATTTGTGCTGTATTTTATCCTTACTGTAGTTTGTGCATTATTTAAAGCACTCTGAATTGCATTTGTGTGACACATGCTCTGCATATCCTAGCTGGGTCTTTGTATTAATGTGTAGTTGCCCTTTTTTGTGTTTTTATGGTTCACTTCTAGTTTATATAAACTTATTTTTTTTGGCTTTTCTTTGTAGTAATCTTATTTTGTGTTTAATATTGCTTGTTTTAGAACTGTATATTTTTATTCTGTATTTTTGTTTTATGTTGTCTGTCTGTCTGTCTGTCTGTAACCTATGTTGTTGCCTGTCTTGGTAAGGACACTCTTAATCTCAAGAGGTTTTTCTGGTTAATTAAAGGTTAAATTTAAAAAAAAATAATAAATAAATAACATAACTGAGGGCAAGTCAAAACTGCAACCAAAATGGTTGCATATATGACATTAATTGTGAGTGTGGGAGTTTGAATGTCATAGGAGTGCATGATGATTATTATCACTGGTGCCCCCACCGGCACCGCGTGATGTGTGTGTGTTTAAGGGTATAAACCTTTACAAAACAATCTATTTAGCTGTTTTCATGTTCCAAAAATTAAGTGGTCTATTGCTGATTAAATTTAAAAGTAAAATAAGGAGAGAAAGGAGAAAGCTGATGGGGAGGGTGAAACAATCTGAGGCTCCGATTCAGACAGGACTAATGATTAAAGTGCAGGCAGGGAAAGATTGATGCTGATGCAGTACCCATGGTTGCAGTACAGACAGTAAGATGCACAAAACCTGCATGCACCGATGCATGACCAACACTAAGCCCTTTCCAACTTCATTTGATTGGTTAGATGAGTAACAGCAAAGAGAAATGGGTGCAACCAAATCATGTGCTAGTGCTCCCATCTGAAAAAGCTGGCAGCACCAGTGCTACCAGTGGAAAATTTAGTCCGGAGCCCTACCATATAAAATTATATAAAAAGCTAAATAGTGGGGGCGCCCACTGGCTCACCTGGTGGAGCAGGCACCCCATGTTCAGGGGCCCCGCCCTTGCCGCCGCGGCCGTGGGCTCAATTACAGCCTGCAGCCCTTTGCTGCATGTCGTTCCACCTCACCATCCCGCTTTCATGCTAACAACAAATATTTCAGAAATACTCCTGTACAATCAAAAGCATCAACTACAACATGATGAAACTGTCTGTCAATGAACTTAGGGTGCCATGTGGACCACTGACCATTTTCTAATTCACAATCAAAATAAACTGATATTGTACTTGTACTTTCAATGTCAATAAGGTGCCAGAGGGCATTAAAAAACAAACATCTCAAAAAAAGTGCCCCGCAAGAATCCCCCCTGATAGGAATCTAGGCTAAGCCCTAAATGACGCCTGAGGTCTAAAGTTAAAGTTAAAGTTCCACTGATTGTCACACACTTGAGTGTGTGAAATTTGTTCTCCGCATTTGACCCATCCCCTGAGGGAGCGGTGAGCAGCAGCGGTGCCGCGCTCGGGAATCATGTGGTGATCTAACCCCCCAATTCCAACCCCTGATGCTGAGTGCCAATTAGGGAGGCAGTAGGCTCGTTCGAGATGAACTGCGCCTCGCCTGGAAAGTAGAGGAGAGCAGGCGGCCGCAGCGGGGGGCGGTAACAAAAAGCTGCGGTGAAGTCGGACAGTTTCCCGACAGTTTCCAGCAGCCTTCAGTCCGTACAGGAAGTCAAAGACACACTTACATCCTGTCTGGAATGATGTCAATTCATTAAAGAAGTGATAAGACCCATATATCAGTTTGTTTTCAGTCACCAGTTGGTTTAATTATGATAGACTAATTAATTAAAATGCTTTACAGATTTATGTTCATGGTTTATCCTCCATTTGACATGAATTCTCCTGTAAATCAGCATCATATCAGTTTGACCTGTCCCCTCAACTACACAGGCTGAATAAACTGTGTTTGACTAAGGTTCATATTTTCAGAGGAAAAAAAACAGCTTTCATTAAGGCTCAGTCAGATACAGTCAGGGCTTCAAATCTGTAGGCTACACTTTATTTTAAGAATCCTCACATCCCACTGACCACAAGTCTCTGTGTTGCTAAATACTTCAATAATTAAAAAAGTCCAGTGTTAATAAACAGTAGACTGTATAGTTTATGATGAATGTGTTTAGTCTCTGAGAACTTCACCATCAGTTACACAACATGTTTTCTGTTCACAGAATAAACCTTCAGATCAGACAAATACAATCTTAATCTCTAAAATTCAACAAAAATGATTAGTTTATCTAAAATGTCATCTTGTTGAGTTTACATCTTAACCAATCAGCTGTTAGATCAGGTGAGAGCCAGGCGGTGCAGTCGGTGGAGAGCAACTGCAGCGCCTGGCTCTAAAAACTGCAGCCGCCTCGCTCTCGCGGTTTAATCGCCGTCCACTTTTGTAATACGTCAGAGCAAGTCGGGATGTAGTTGGACACAAAACTAACCAGCATGCATTGTGCGCCGATCGCCGGTGATCGAATCTGCGCAGGTCTGGCTCATCTCGAGCGAACCTAGTGGGTCCCATTTTTATAGTCTTTGGTATGACCCGGCCGGGGACCGAACCCACCCCTTCCCAGTCTCAGGGCGGACACTCTACCACTAGGCCACTGAGCTGGGTCTAGAAACACCCTTGCCTACACCTGGGGCACATTCAATCTCAAAACGTGTGTAACAGGCTTATGTTGTCCCTCATTTGGTGGGTGTGTCAGAGGTGTTATCCAATCAGCAGCAACATGTATGTAATACAAATGCTGGTAGATCCTTAGTTATTGTGCCTATGGTTTTTGTTTTTATTTTACGCTTGCTTTGGCAATGTAATATATGTTCCCCATGCCAATAAAGTCCCTTTCAATGAAATTTGATGAAACCCTGCCTAATTAAAAGGCAGTGTACATGTGTAACACAAAAGGGTGTTTAATGCACCACTGTTTCTGTTTAAATAAACTTTTTGCTACATTTTGTCAGGTCTGAACGCAGTTCTGATGTATGCAGGGCTGCTGTGACCGAATGAGTGAGGACAGCAAATGTGGAAAGGTTGAAAACCTTTTTTATATATTTTGCAAAGCAAGATGGGTGTCCCTGATATGTTCTCATTGCATAAACACACAGCTGTGACTTATTTTCATTAAGAATATGCTACTAATACCCTAATTGCAGCAGCCTATGAAAAATAATCTGCTCCTTTTTCCTAAATTAACTATAATCTTGGTCATTCAGACAAACAATAACTGATTTTTTTTCTTATGAAAACTTCTCAGAATTCTGAGGTAATCATCTCACTGATTCAGAAAAACAGGGCAAATATGTTTTTTTTATCTCAAGTGAATGCATTACAATTCCAAAGCAGCCACTGCCACCTGCATGTTATATGAGCTCACCTTGTATCACGTCTTCAGTAGCATCACCAGCAGCTTGACTCTGTAGCAGTTTCTGAAATATGAGGGGGATTTTTAATCACAATGTTACAGTCTTGCCTTTGAAAGAGATATGAAAATCACTAAGTACACATTTCAATATTTTGTATTCACCTGCTCCCCTCTCCATTTCAGCTGTATGGACTGTAGATGGGATTTAATGGGTGTGATTTTGCTTCACAGGTCCCTCTGAAGATGGACGGTATGCCTGTCAAACACAGGTGTTACTAATGAAAATACTGCATTGCACCAAAATGGAACCCGGCTAATTAGTTACACCTGTGGTTTTCTGGCTGTCACAAGGACCACTGGTGGAATGAAGCTTTAAGTACAATTACTACTGTACTTTAATAAACATATTAAGTATTTATAATGTACTTGAGTAATATCCATTTTCTACTACTTTATACTTCTACTCTACTACATGTAATTTCATGAAATGTGACGCACTGTTATAAACAAAACATAAAATGGCAACTTTAAATTTTACACGACCACTTGGAGGAGTTTTATTTGACAATGAAAGTACATTTTGCTAATGTTACATATATATTTCGGTGTGGTATTAATACTTTTACTCTGAAAAGAGTCAAAATATCCGCCATGTCAATTAAAACACCAGAAAAGTTTAGCTAACCTTCAGCTAGTTTACCTGTCAGTTAAGTTAGCTAACTTCACCACGGAGCTTAACGTTAGTTTACAGCAGCATTGAAACACCGGCAGGCTCACCTTTTCTTCAGATAAAACGTAGATACGAGTTGTTTTAGTTTTCCTTCCTTTGTTTTCACTTGGGCCTGTAGTTTGAGGATAACGTTAATTTCCTGACGCATCCTTCTTGCGTCACAATCCTGCGGAGTCTGTGGGGGTGCGTGATGATGTATCTTTTCAATGTGCTGATATTAGGGACTGTTCTTTACTTGAGGGGGGTGGCTTGGGTGTGACTTTTTTATTTATTTATTTTTATCTTAACCCTTGAGCCTCCATTAATTACTGGGGGAAAATGTATGCCCTTCCTTTCACCATAAATAGCCATATTTTTGTATATTAGAACCAAATGTAGGTATTGGAGGAGTGAGAGTTATCACCAAAACAAACAGCTAATTTCTTGAGAAGTATGCAAATCCTCCTAACAAAGTTGAAAGTTGGAAACTAAATCCTGGAGTTGAAAAAAAGCCTTAATTTGTCACTAATGTCATGCATGCAGGAACACAGAATTTAATGTTTTTAAAGGATCTGGTTCATGCCAACCATTTATTTTTGGCAAATCCCTCTGTCCTCCATTTTGCCCATATTTGTGCACATTTTCTGAAAACTTACGGGTACGGACAAAACTGAGCAGTACCACCAGAGATCATGGGAGCGGTGTCGCATAGTTCAAACGAGATACTTGAATAGTGGCACGAATGTAACAGATTGGTAATATGTAATAATATATAGTAATATACAGTGAAAATAGTGAAGAGTTCTCCGTCCACGTGTCGTGATGTATATAATGGCCGCACAGACCTCTGCCATCTACAACGCTGCCTCCATTAAAAGGTACATTAGGCTATTACAACCTCTCCCACGTCATCTCGTTTGTTGACTCTGCACTCTGGTGCCATCTACTGGCTGTATCAATTCCATCAATAAAGGACGCATTGAAGTATGACAGCGGTGACACTCACAATCTTTGAAACGGACATACCTATTTTTGTACGTAAAGGGAGTATAAATAAGCTGTTTGTCGCACATGTTTTCAAGGATTGTCAGAAATTTGAATAATGTGAATGTGTTAGATTCATGTTTTGTTTAAGACTATGATCCCCCATTTTGCACCACCCACTCCCACCTTATAAATAAGGAACAGTCCCTTAGTAATATAAACTGATAGTAATGTTGCAGTTTACATTCTTTCTCTCTCTCAATTTTGTGTATTCACTTGTAATTATTTTGAATTGCCTGGTTTAGTTAATTAACTCACAACTGTTAGCAGTAGTGGCTAGCAATAGGAAAAGAAGAAGATCTCTGCAGCCAAAAAGCCTACAATTTTCTCTTTATTTTTGATATATTAACTTAAGTCCAAATCGTGATATCTGGGTTAAAATATCTTCAGTCACCTTTGTCTATCAGAGAGATCATCACAAATGTGACTGTGTTAGATTCATGTTAAGCCTCCTTTTCTCTCTAAAACCGTGCATTTTTAAGGTAGGAGGATGCTGAGCTGCTAAGTTTGTGCTCTCCTCTTCTTAAAGTCTTAAAAGTCTCCTCTTCTGTTTGTGCGTGTGTGTGTGTGTGTGTGTGTGCATATCAAGACTCAGCGAGCGTTGCGTGGGAGGAGGACCGAGACCACATACAGTAGCTGCTTGAAACTCCCAGCTTTAAGCATAATGGATATTGGATTAGACATCCCAGTGCCTCTTGGTAAACTAAAAACACCCACCATGTCCTTAACAACTCAGAGACCAGGCTGCTTCTGCAAAGTTCATGTGAGGTTAGAATCTTTCTATCCGTCAATCTAAAGTTACATGACTGATTTTGAATAACTCCATTATGTACAACCTGGCAGCATACACTCCATATTAAAGCTGCTTATGAGTCTCTATTTACTTTTTGGTCTGCAAATATCACTCAGTCCCCTGTTGACTCTCAAGTCAATTTATTTTCCACCATAATAGAAATCAGAAAAATATTGTTTTTCACAAGAATAACACAAAGAGGACAGACTGAATTCAGAAAAAAAAACATTTTATTGGTGTCATTTAAACACCACAGTGCTCTAATTCAAACAGGCCTTGATCACACTTGTATGGTTTATAGTGGTGCAATGAGCACGCACTGTATCTACCGCAGGCATGATATCAACTGGCAGTACTCAGCTGAAAGCAGCTGGCTGATAAGACTTCCCCTTGTTCTGCTGATAAAAAGCGAGCCCACAATATGTCCCGTGGGTCGACCTCGCCAAGATGTCGGCATGCTTTTTATGTAGGCTGTTACAGGTTAGAGGCAAATAAAGGCTATTAATGAATCCACAGATTCTAAGCTAGTCATCCCACTCCCTTTAATAGATAAACTGCTACACATAAACATTTTATTTTGAAGAAATTAGTCCCGTTATCAGATACCAGGCTGCAAGCAAACATGTCACTCTTGTCAGATTAAGGTGTTTCCCTGAGGTCAAACGTTACCAAACACTAAAAATAAAAGAAGAACGTTTTGGACACAAATTTTAAAGCCAGAAGGTAAAACACCACTGGTTCAAGTCTCAAAATGGTTTTGCCAACCACAGTATTTCTGCAACATCCTTGGCAGCAACCTGGGTTTGAGCCTGACCCCTGACCCTGTCCTGTGTGTCATCGCCATCATTGGCCACTCAGGTTCCCAGCTACGCTCCTACAAGTGGTTGCCTTTTAATGTACCCTGGGTTTTAACAGATCTGGAGAAAACTTCATTCTCCTACTCTGCACCTTGGACATGGAACAATGTTCAAAAAGATCTAAAATTAGAAACACTGATATTCATCATTCAGGACCTCATAAAGAATGTGGTGATAGAGACATGTGCTTGTTTTTCTTGAGAGGCCACTATGTTTGGATAGTTGTTGTTTTGTGGATTTTTGTGTTATATGTTGTATTTGTTGGATTTTAAATGTGTTCTGATTGGCTGCTACCTCGGCCAGGTCTCTCTTGGAAAAGAGATTTTCAATCTCAATGGGACTTCCTGGTTAAAGAAAGGTTAAATAAAATAGATGAATAAATAAAATATCTTAAATCAATCTGTCAAAAGTCTTTAAAATGCCAAGACCTGGAAAGTAGGATTTAGGGGGAATAAATGGGTAGAAATAGAATATATTATACCAAGTGTGTCTTCTTAAGTGTATAATCACCTGAAAAACAGAATCATTGGGTTTTCTTTACCATAGAATGAGTTGTTTATATCTACATAGAGAGTGGATGATTTTTATGAGTAAAACTGCTTTATTCAGTGTTTTTACTCGTTTAAATCATCTGGTGCATTTGTTATGGAGAGAAGAGACCTCTGAAGATAATTCAGCTCCCAGTAAAAACCTCCTTAACAATGCACACTAAATGAATTCTAACCTGGAGAAGTTTCAGCTGGTTGCAATCTGCAGTCCTCACCACTAGCTGCCTCTGAATCCCCCTAAATCTTACACACTGCTCCTTTAAGCTGAAGTAACTGTGGGTGACAAACTTCCAGCCAATCAGCCACAGGGGGCATGTGTGCTAGTGCACAGAACAGAAGAAAGGCAATAGATGTGTAAAGAGAAAGGCAGTGGGAGAGAGACGAAGAGTAAATCTGGCACATGCTAACGTGCTGGACTCCACCGCACATTGTCAACAACCTTTCTCCAAAATCGCTGACTCCACCTTTAACTCTAATTATGGTCATCCCACACGCTGAGAAGAAAGGTGGGAAAACACACATCAAGATTTATCTCCCAGCAAAACAGGGATTGTGTACTAACAAAATCTACAGTTACAAGGACACACACACACACACACACAATAAATGAGCACAGGAAACGTTTGTGGGACCTGACTCGAGCGCATTTTTATTGAACGTTTATAACTGTTAAAAACATGTATAAAATTGGTCCTGTTTCAGAAACAAGGCACGCATAGTCATGTCAAATGTTCAGTGTTCATGTCATTATTAGCATTATCATTTATCAACATCATCATCAGCATCATCATCAGCACGTTCCATCTCAGTATTTGTCTAATAGTAGTATCAAGCATTCCCTAATATAAAAACACGTTCCAATTTTTTTTTTTTTTCACAGAGGTTAAAATTTTATTCCGAGCAGCAAGACAATATTCATGCAAAGACGGGAGTGGAGGAGAAGATACGAGCTGACTGGACTGACAGGCTGACGGGTCTTTAATAGTAGGTCTCCCGTTCCACCCAACCTGGATACACAGGGAAAGAAAACAAACAAGCACTGGATTTAGAGGCAACTTCTTGGGTCGATTGGGTATATTTGACCTTTATACTTCATTAAAAGCATGCAAAGAGACAGAAGAACACTTCAGTTTCTCCACCTCTCTCTGGAGAAGAAAAACAAGAGCGAAATGGGGAGAAGAGACAGAGAAAGGGGTAAAGATGTGCAGAAAAACAACAGAGCAGGGAGGGAGAGAAGTAGGAAAATAAAAGCATGGATCCTGGACTCACCTCCTGGGCTGCGTCTGAGGATCAGCTTACGGATTTCAT